GAGGAAGGCCATACACTCGGAATTATTGTTAAAAATTCTCGATTGTTGCCAACATTGCCTTGGGGATTTCAACGGCCTCAGACGAACACACTGGGCTAAGATTGGTAAAAGGTTACTGCTTACAGTCAAATTTGCTTCTCACTTAAAATATGGTTGATATCGGAAAGAATAACGTGAGAAGAAAGAACGCCGGCCGTCGATATATCGATATTATCGACAGGTTCTATTTTTCCAGCTTTCGATTTATAATAAAAGAGTAAATTCATCAGAAATACTCTTGCTAACCCTTCTTTAAATTGCTCTGTAAATGTCCGCGATTAATGGCTTATTGATTTAAAACGTCATCCTATCAATGTAAATATTGACATATTTTGCTTTTGTCGATGTTCTTGGCAAGCGGAATTTTCCGTGTAAACCTAGAAAAATATCGATTCCAGTTATTGTACAATCATCCATCCCTAACCATCCCTTCACGAAAACAAGTTTATTAAAAACAATTTATGATCAGAAAAGTTACCTTATAAATTTAGCTAAGGCCTCTTGTACCTATCAATGATGAACAAAATACACTAAGATTTATATACACAGTACCATAAAAATGAGACAAGAAAAAAGTATAATTCTTGAACAAGCAGAAGAGTCGGTTTTACCGGGTTATACAACCTCAAGGTCAGAAAATACCAGCGAGAGCAGACAGACGATCTGAAGACGATCGAGGATCAGGTACATTACCTCGCAGGTGCAGCACTTTTTTAATGACCTTCATTAACTCGTCAGATTTGCCTTGTACACGAATGCTGAACATACACCAAGAATAGTCTATTTTATATTTGCAAAAATAGGAGTACATAGTAGTATCATCAGAAGTTATGCTTAATTCTTGAACAACTTCGGACGTCAGTCATAACCAGCGAAGTTGAAGAGACAATCAGTACAAAATCGAAGGTACAAGCTCAACGCCTGGCATTGTTTCAAATTTATTAAAACTTTACGTTTGAACGTAAAAAAATTTCTCTCCTGAGATGACCTATAATCTTGCCGGATATGCTTAGATGAAGGTCAATGGTGAGCAAAACACACCAAGACTTTTCTATCTATGTACAAACCATAAAACCATGATGAACAAATGTCATTTTTGTACCAGATGATTCAATCTCAAGGTCAGAAAAAACTATCGAGACAAGACAGACCTTCGGAAGATCGTGCAAATACAGCACCTCGTAATTTTTCACACAAAAATTGATATTGAATGTTAGAAAAAAGTATTTTTTAATGACCCTTATAAACCTGTCAGATTTGCCTTATCCTTGAACCTAGAGATTTCTATTTTTGTGTGCGAATTGCTGTTTCAGCAGAAGTTTCTGTTATATTAGAGGTCTCTCCTAAAATGTCTCATAAAGTTCCAGATTTAGCAAGTTGCACTTACATCAATTAAGATTAAAACAGTGTAAGACATTTCTATTTATGTCTGGTGTTTAGTGACCGTTAATTAATGATTATTTGGAGATCGTGAGATGCGGTCTGGAGTGACGTAGGTTTTAGAAAAACATTTTCTTCAGGGCCTGGGGGAAGATGATCTCAATAAAGATCGAAACGTTGGCACGATAAAGAAAACGTTTTTCTAAACCCACGTCACATCTGACCCCATCTCACGATCTCCATATAATCATTTCTATTTATCACAAAAGAAAAGCCATTGTTGTACAGCAGAATGGCCAGTTTTACTGAATTATACAATCTTAAGGTCAGACGAATCCAGAGAGTTTAGACAGACCATCGAAAGACAATCACCCTGCAGTATTTCACGTAAAAACAGTTAAAAATTTAGAATTGAATGTCATACACTTTTTTTTTTTAATGTGATTCACAAACACGCCATATTTGTCTTGTCCTACTACATCAGTGATGAACAAAATACACCAAGACATTCCTTTTTATGAATCCTTTTAAAAAGATAGTTCCTACTCATAATGTTGTTTTCAACGACCCGGATTTCGACCCAACAGCTCATCATCAGGTTGTTGAGCTCCTTCAACCTGATGATGAGCTGTAGGCTCGAAATCCGGATCGTTGAAAACAACTTTACGTGAGAACATCCACCATTCATCTTTTCTATAACTTTTTATGTGTTCAAAACAATAAAAACAGGAGGAATAGTTGATTGCTGTACCTGCAGAAGTTTCAGTTTTTAAACGTCCTGGAGGTCAGGCGAAAACCGACGAGACTAGACATACCATCGGTCAAGCACATCACTCCGCAATGTTTCAAAATAATTACAAATTTACGATAGAATGTTAGAAAAGGTCTCTCCTAAGATGTTTCATAAACTTGTCAGATTTGCATCGTTGCATTACATCAAGGATGAATCAACCACACCAAGACCTGTCTATTTATGTGCATAAAACCATAAACACGATGACTATCCTGTCTCTATTTCAAGGTTGTGCAACGTTAGATACATGCAAGGCTGGGTTTTTTAAAATGATCCTTGATTCGCTGCGTTTCTCTTTTCTGAATTTCTCTGCAAAAGCCGGTAACAATCGGTTTTAAATAGATCCACGACCTAGTTCGTACGGGAACGACCTTGTTGAAAAGGATTTCCAAAGTTTACAAAGTTGTGTATGTACTTGTAAAGATTATCTTTTTAACAAAAAACCTAATATAACAGTTTTTTTATTACTGATTCGACTCGTTAATCCGTCTAGTGTATTTGACCTATAAACAGATATGGTACGTTACCATCAAGGTCGACCCAACAAAGGGGAATTATGGTTCATGAATGATCTAATGGATTAGAAGGAATTCAAGAAAAAAATTATTCATTTGAATTTCAATTCCCCCAGGGAAATTATTCCACGCAATTTTCCAATTGTCCAATTGGCGTAATCAAGAGAATTCCATGCCGGCCGATTAGATATTCTTAAGGCATGAGCCTTTTTTCCCCCAGCGTCCAAGCCTTTTTGTTTGAGTTCTTTTATCAAAGAAGATATTGAAGTCAACGTTCTAACGTTCTAGAACGAGACCGGTCAAATTTATTAAAGTTAGGATATAAGATATCCTTGAACAAATTTGTCACCTTTCGAGCCGATCGGATTTCGATGGAACCTTGTTCGCCGTCGAGTGGAAAATGAGTAGCCTAGGTCGGTCAAACGAGAGAGTTCCTTTTCAACCCAACAAAACCACCAATAAAATATGCCAAAAAAGTTGATAAATTTTCTAAATGAATATTTAAAGGAAATTTTGTAATTTTTGATCTCTTGTTTCATCTTTTGAGTTCCGAAAATTCGATTAATGGCTGTCGTAAGATATTGCACCACGCAGGCGTTACATTTCTCGATTTGGTCCGCCTGTTCTCGCTGTCTCTCCATTCATAATCGAAACCCAATGTTGAGATATTAGTCGCTGATGTATTTTCTTTCTTATTTACCGTAATATGTCATTTTACCAATAAATAATCTGGATTAGATTATTTAAAAAAATATCCAGCGTCTTAATTCAGATTGAACTGATATAATCAATCTTCAAGTCACACATTGTCTAGTACTGCATTATAATTGTTTTCCTTTTGTTTAACTGACAAACAAAAAATTCTCTTCTATATTTAACAGTGTGAGATTAAAAAAAAAACATTTAGACAAGTTTTCACACAATAGCCATTACTAAGACATAAAGAAAAAAACGTGCAACAAATGCTATAAACAAATACAAACTGTTAAAACAAACAAAATTCAAACTAGTGGGATTATTAAAAGAACAATTATGATTCGAATGGTTATTTAAAAAAAAAGTATCACACCATTTGAAACATGTTTCTGTATTTTCCTTAATATTTTATTTTTGTTTTCCACGTGTAATTGAATGTTAAAAAAAATGAATTATATAAATATATACGCCATTGGGGCAAGCTAATAATTAATTATTCTAATTATGTACATAAATATTTTAAAATAAAATATTGATATGTTAAAAAACATATAATATATAAATATTTTAAATTTGTTTTATTTTTAAACATGTAATTATTTTATTAAGACTAATCCGTCTTATTCAAATTTGTTGGTTAATATCAGACATTTCCATGTGGTTATTTTTACATAATAAAATAAAAACTTTTTTTTTTATTACTGTTTACTTTGGACGTTTCAGGAATTTACACCCATAAATATAATATTGTTATTTTTATTAATTATAATATAATATTGTATTTTAAAAGGTATGACAATCTTACACACTTTAATAATTAATAAATAATTAACTTTTGGTTTTTCTTTAAAAAAATTTCATGTGGGTTTTTAAAAGTAAATTCAATACTTATTTAATGAACATTTATTGGGACGTACAAGACAATTATGACAAAGGATATTGGTTCATCAATTAAAAAATTTAACTTATATTTTTTAATTGTTCACCTTTTTCATTTTAAAAAGGAACATTTTTTAATATAAAGTAAGCTTTATAATTAATGAAATGTAAAATATCCTGTTATGTCTTTTGAAAATGTAGAATCTGATGATGTGTTTCCATTCCCGAAACGCCAAAATAAATTTTAAAATAAGTAATGAATTTACTTTGAAAAAACAAGAAATTTTTTTTAGCAAAACCAAAAAAAAAAATTATTATTATAATATTTATATTTCATCTTGACAAGTAAAAACAAAAAAAATTAAAAAAGACAAATTAATCTTTCTAAAATAACATTTTATACATACTTATATTAACTATATAAATATTGCATTATATAAAATATTGATATTTAAAAAAAATAAATGGTTAACAATGGTGTAGTTGGTCTGAGTAACCTTGTTTCACTCTCATTTCTCTTCTGAGTCAGAGTTCGTATACTCTTTAACCTACTTTTGGTTTTACAATCCATGTTATATTTATTCTTGTCTTGTATATTTGTTTTCTTTTTGTTATTTTATGCTTTTTTTCTCGGAAAGAGAAATGGGAGCGATGGTATGTGAAATATATTTATTAAAAAAAAATATAGTTTTACTTACTTTTCTTTGGTAGATTTGTTTTAGTACGGTGTTTTAAAATAAAATATTTAAAAGAAACAAAAAGAACACAACAAAAATCACAAAATTTGAACACTTCACACTTCTCCGTATAACGAACGATCACAGGCGTATTTCTCTTGGAGAAAATTGAAAAATAAAAACTTTAAAAAAAGTCTTTTCTTTAAATTAAAAGAAATATAAAGGGGTGAAAACAAAAAGGATTTATAACTAAAAAAAAGCGTTCTTTAGTACATTTCAACGTTCTCTATAGCCAAATGAGAAAAACTTGAAAGGCCGTCCACAAAGTAAAAGTGGTACGAAAGAATCCTCTCTCATGTAACAAATGCAAATTGATCGGTTCACAATATCTTCAGTATAAGAGTGGAGAAACCTAGGACCATTACAATTCATAAAAATGATCTTGTAATGGTTTTCCGCGGGTTTTTCTTGTCGGATTAGAATTGTTATCCGTTTGTTGTATGCCGTGGGTCGGGAGAGAGACACGTACGTGGTCGGCCGGTGGGAGCGAGAGCCTGACTAGTGACTAGTGACTGTCTCACCAACTGCCAATGGGCACACGGTTGGTGGGCACGACTCGGCTTGCGCACCGACGCACAGCTGACCCGTCCTACTACCCTGCCTGAAAAAGTCGGCCCCCTTTCAATCCGCACTCCGCCTGAGGTGGATCAATGGTTTTACCGCCGCCCCCTCTCGGGACGGACCGCGTTTTCCGGGAAAAAGCCCTCCGACCTGAATCACCGCTCGCGGATTCTAGGAAATCGGAAATTACAACTCCCCCCGCCTACCCGGTACATTTCGAAACATTCCGGTTATCCTGATATGGGCCGACCTAGACATGTCATCTACATCTATAGCATTGAAGCTGTTAAACGGCATCTTAATAAAAAAAAGGTCCCATAATCTCGTTTATCTGGTTTTACGACAAATACACAGCGATTGTACAATTTAGATTATTCTTCTATCACGTATCTTCAATATATTGCTCCTATTATTGTGATACAAATACGTTATGTCATACCAAATGTGGCGAATTGTGCAACAATTTTCACAGCGTCACCAACTAATTATAAGTACATTACTATCTCTTTTCCTATTTAGGGTAAACCTCGAAAATCTTATAATGGTCAGATTATTACATTTTATCCATTTACGGTTTCGAAGTCAATTGACCAAGTTACTTCTTTCAATCAATTAATTATTCTTTCTAAGGTCTTGGTTGAGGTAAAAATCGAAAGTTCGAATCGCGCTCGTGACAGACTTTTTTTATCTCAATCAAGGCCTTACATAGAAAGAATAATTAATCGATTGAAATTACATTTTATTCAATTAATTAAGGTTTTTAAGTTGAGATAAAAAGTCAGTGTGACGAGCGAGATTCGAACCCACGACCTTCGGCTCGATACGCCGCTACTCTACCACTTGAGCTTTCGCCACTTCGACCCCTCGGGCACCAACTTCCCATCTCAACCCCCACCTTTTGAATTTTTCCTCCTTTTTGCCATTTTTCAAATGCCGTGTAATCGGATTGGATTGTCGGCGACAAATTTTTATCTCAACTTAAAAACCTTAATTAATGTTATTAATTGGTCAAGCGGACCATGAAAAATAGGGAATTACATTTTATGTTTTTCTTTTGTTAATGGTGTTAATGAAACTGCTCAAAAATGAATAGGGTTATTGCTGATTTTAGGCTATTTATTTTTCCTACCATTTTTATTGTATTTTTATTAAAAATTGCATTAACATTTATTACAAATTATTACGTTTTTATTGAAAGAAAATTTAATTAACGGATTTTGAAAAATTACAAAATAAAAGGTATTAATTCCATAATTTTGTTTATTGTATATATATATAAAATGTAATATCTTGTATAATGCCCCCTTTTAGCTCAAAACTCTCTGGAAATAAAACTCTGTGTTAATAAAGTTGTTAATTTCATAAGGAATGACACTCCATAAACGTTGCAACGCTGCACTCATTTGTTGCAGGTTAACTGGTTGCGAATGGTGTTCGGAAAGCCTTTTCTGCAACGCATGGGATTGAGGTCTGGAGACAATGGGAGAAGGGGCAGATGCGAAATTCCCAGGTTTTCTAAACATTGAGGACAACTCTGCCTCTTACGAGGTCTGGCATTGTCATCCAGAAATCGAAAATTCCTGCCTATGAGATCCCTGGTTTGAAGGATATATTCCTCGACAATTTCTTCAACATAACGTAATGCGGTGAGGTTGCCTTCAACAGTATGGAGTCTAGTTCTTCCTTCAGTGTTCAACACCTACCCACACCATTACACCGCCTCCTCCAAACTGCACTAAAGTGATCCCGAACAGGTACGCATTCCCTGTTCACTGTGGACTCTTCGGCGCCTGCTATCACTATACAGACAGCAACGCGACTCATCAGCAAACATTACAGCATACCAATTGGTGTTCTCTTCTTGGCGCTCGCTGCACCATATTCTACTGAGTTGCTGGTGGCGGGCTGTTGGTGTAGGTCGTCGCAAAGGGGCATAGGACACGAGACCAACGTTGATGAAGTCCTTGTAGTCCTTTTAAGATGTGACGGGCACTATGGAAAGGGTTCCACCGTGCAATGACGATATTTCTGTCCTTCCTTAATGCGCTGGGATCCACTACCTTATTACATTTATGAAAATAATTTCCATTGTGTACACCTTCAAAAAGCTGTTAGATTTCCAGATCAGAATTTCTATAAGATTGCGTCAGATCACAGCAAAACTGGTGAGTTGTGCAATAATTTTAGCCGACTATTAAATTTTTTGTTTCTTTGTTAATCAAATAAAAATGTTAATCTATAAAAACCAACAGTAGTCTTTTTTTTAGTTATTAGTAATTACATTTTTTTAGATCAAATATTTGCTACATATTATCTTTCTGTGAATTACTCATTGTCGACATTCAACCGCAAATTTATTTTTATCACATTATCTCTCTATAATATTAAAGAAGATTTGGCTGAATTATGTGTGAGAGAGAGGGACCTATACGATTTTAATGTGTATAAAGAAAGTAAGATAGAGTGATGGTAAACACAAGTTTTAATAGAATTTTTCACTTTTCTCACTATTTCCTCAAATTTAAGAACCCATGTCATATCACACATCTTTGGAAGGAGGAACTTTTTTTTACAAATAATCTTAATTAGAAATCAATTGCTATCAGTACTTATATCTGGAACTTACCTACTTTGTTTTTTTGTTTGGGTAAAAACTGAGAAAAATTTTCCGCGAGGAGTTTTTTGTCATAAAAACGCGAATAGCTCGTTTCTATCCACATATTAATATTAGTGCTAAATTTGCTCAATTATTAAAAAAACATTCGTTCGACATTAATCTAGAATTAGGACCTTTAAAAACTAAATTAAAATAACTTGACTATATAATATAAATACCATTTATTTGTCACTATAATAAAATATTTATGAATTAAAATTTGAACAAACATTAATTTAAATGACGCAGGGATGACGTTAAGTCTTACTTAAAATTAATTATACTTTGTATGTAAGGTCTTGGTTGAGATAAAAAAACCAGTGTCACGAGCGGGATTCGAACCCACGACCTTCGGCTAAATACGCCGCTGCTCTACCACTTGAGCTACCGTGACTTCGATCCTTTCGGACACCAACTCTCCGGCTTATTTAGCCGAAGGTCGTGTGTTCGAATCCCGCTCGTGACATTGACTTTTTTATTTCAACCAAGTCCTTACATACAAAGAATAATTAATTGAAAGATGTAACTTGGTCAATTGACCACTAAAACATAAATGGCTTTCTTAAAACGTCGTGAAAATATGATACCAACAATAATTATTGCGGGAAAAGCACGAAATGCTTGAGGATCGGAATAACCCGAGGTCCGACAAATAAATTCAGATATTTTAAGACGAACAGAAACTACAATATTCGATGATTTTTCAACAAAATGACGAATTTGAATCCGCAATAGTTATCTAAAAATCTAAACGAGTTATTTTCAAAATTGCCCCTCTAAAAAACACAAATTGCCCCCGGAGGTCCCACGTTGGGAAACCGCCTTAGATAAAAAGTATAATTAATACGGTCAATTATGACTAATAAATATTATATATATTAATGTAAGATGTATTGTTATTTTGTATTATTTATTGTTCCACTTTTCTACAATGCATTGTTGTTAAATAAAAGAGCGGCTAGTTGGGCAGGATGTTCCAGATATAAGTTTTTACCGGTTCCCTATCGACATCCGAGGACGCGAGTCACCAAGGACGGCGACGATTTAACAACACACATCCTTTTTCTACCACAGTTGCATTTATTCTGTCTGAAGAAATCATTTATTTCTCAAGGAAATGGGTCATTGTGAAGAAATAACGATGATAAATTTTTTGGCGATGTCCGGCCCCCGAAGTGATTAATGGTGGCTCATTTGGCGTTCCTCATGACGGCTGACCTTTTTTCGGAAGAATGCACTTTTTGATCATTTCGTTATTACTCATAGATACGAACGGTCTAATTTTTAAAATTTCAAGCGTCACAAAACAAATTTAATAAACTGCTCAAAAATGAGTAGGGATATTTGTAATTTACTCTTATTCTATTAAGTTTAATTAATTTAACTGTTATATTCTTGTTAATTGGATAAAACAAAATAGAAAATACAAACCAAAAACAAACAAATGTTATTCCTCATTTTTAATAACGGAATTACTTAAGAAAAGTAAACAAGAAGATTACTCATTTTGTAAATAAATACAAAAAAACACCTTTTCTCCTTCTTAATCCAGTTGTATTCTCTGTATCCGTGGAAAGAGATCATCATAAACCAGAAGCAATATTATTGTGTGAATGAGTCATCGAGGTCACCGGCAAGAGGATATCGCAGAGGCAGTCGGCATTTCTCAGAACGTGATCTCCCGGGCTTTAGATACCTTGAGACTGGAAGTGCCAATAGGAGGCCTGGTAGTGGACTTCAGCGTAGTACAACGCTAAGGGAGGACATTATCTTTGCTGCAAGACGGAACCCTTTCCGTAGTGCCCGCCAGATCCTAAATAAAGTATAAGATGTTTCGGCAAGGCCTTTATCAACATAAACTATTCGTAATCGTTGGGAAGTTGGCCTCACATCGTCTGCCCCTTTGAGGCAACCTACAGCAACAGCCAGCCACCAAGATTTCAAGAGAATGTGGTGCATGCTTTCCCGTATTCGGTCGTCCTAAAAAGGACAATGAGGATCTTTAACGTCTGAACCTAGCCTATTCGGCCTTATCGGACGTTTTGATGCTCAAGACGAAAGCTGACGCACCTCCACATACGACAAAATGGTGTTACTGTCGCAGCATTGGTGTAGAGGCAGCTCAGCCCCGAAGGTCCGAGACAACATCGCTCCCCGCTTGCCCATTCCGAGTGGTCGGGTCTGCATTAAGCATCAGACCGTATGCGCGCACTCCCTAGATAGAGAAGGCCACTCTATCTCCCAGAGAATTGGGGCTTCTCTAGCGTAGAAACTACCGGATCCGCTCCGGCCGAGGTTTTGTTTAAAATGGAATG